GTACCTAGGCGCTGCAAATGGATCGCAATGGTTTTTCTAGCGTTGGAAAGCCCAGAAAATGGCGCATTTTTTTGCGTTCAAATATTTTTGCTTTTATTAGCAAGCTGATATTCCTGAACGCCGCCATCACGGTACTCTGGAAGCTGAGAAATGGCATCGCAATAATTTTTGCGCTATTAGGAAGGCTAGAAAATGACAGGCGCTGCGTTTTTTGTAGCTTTTTTTCTAGCTTGTTTTTGTAAAGCTGTTTGCGCGTTATTTTTAAACAAAAATTCTGCTGGTTTTGATAAACGGCTCGTATTGGCGCAAAAGAAGTTCTTGCTCCATAGTAGGTACATGCTGAAACGCCACCTCAAATACAGGGTGAGAGCTTATATCGCTACACCTCTAGCAGGCCAAATTTTGTCTGCCAGAGGAAAGCTGATTATTATTTTCGGGGTAAACGATGTTTCCCATCGAAGAACTAGCATTTCTTCATGTGGGAAATAAATGTAAATGGTTGGCAATTGTTTCGATTTTGGTTTAGCTTACAGGGAAGTTCAGCGCTTTTCTCGAAAAAGTGGTGTGTTGGCACGCTGCTCCTAGAACCCCGTATATTGGTAACTCTGGTTCAGTTGTTTTGCCTTCTGGTTCAGTCGGATCTTATTTATTTTTCCAATGGTTTTTAGTCGGAAACTAGCGAGGGAATTTTACTATATTCAAAAAGGGTGATGACCCACCCCACCCCCACCCTTTTGTTGGCCACTAAAAATTAATCAGAAAATCTAAGCCACCTGAATATTTCGATTCGAGCATTTTTTTGAATTTTAGGCATCCGGTACTAGCAATTCCCAATGATAAAACCAAGAAATTGAACGAGTACAAGTCAAAAAATATATTTTTATGTTTTTTACTATGGTTTTTGCAACCAGCTGAGACAAAGTTTTAACTTGCTGCCGAATGAAAAGAAATAAGTTGGTCTCATTCTCTTTTTCGACAATTTCTAAGTAGTGCAAAGGTTTTTAGGGGTCATTCGCGTCCAAATAAATGTTTCCGAACCATGCCGAAATCGACCGCCAAGGGGTTCCGTGCCAGACCCACCTAAAGACGCCCAGTTTTTGCTTTAGAACAAGTGTTTATAAGGTTGTTGCGTTATATGATTTTAAGAGTGTCGAAAGGACACATGTAGCTATATCACAGCGAAATATTGAAGCCCGGCTCGCTTTAATACTTTTTTGAGGGACCCGGAATGTGTAGCGATATATATGCCTCACCCTGTAGAAACGAATTATGTGATTTTTGCGTGAGTCAAGCGCGGAGTTTAAATTATTTGCTTGAATTCCGGTCGGTTCTGGTTCCAAAAGCGATAAAATAGAGTGGAAAATTGGATAAACACCGTTGATTTTCTGGGCAGCCTGTTTTTTTTTAACCGCCGCGAAAATCGCATACAAAAAATTGCGCCAGATAAAGCGGAACTTCTAAATGATAATTTTGTTGTTTTTCCATTTTTCTGTGTAAAAACCATTTCCAGATCTACGTGTGGCTGGACGCGCTCACCAACTACCTGACGGTCAACGGCTACCCGGACGCCAGCGGCCAACTGCCCGCCCCCCACTTGCCAGATCATCGGCAAGGAGATTGTTAGGTTGGGAGTTTTGATTCGAGCCCTGAACGCTTTCTTTGAGGTTTCACGCCGTCTACTGGCTGGCCTTCTTGCAGGCGTTGAAGTTGCCGATCCCGAGAAGATCTTCGTACACGGGCACTGGCTGGTTGATGGAGTTAAGGTATACATAGAATTTTTCCTAAAATATTTTTTAGATGTCAAAAAGCGTCGGGAACGTCGTCGATCCGCTCGACCTGGTGAAGACGTTGGGCAGCGACGGCGTGCGCTTCTTCCTGCTCAGCCGCGGCGTGCTCCGCGATAATTGCAGTACGTTTTTGCCTCATTTTAGCTTTCTTTGCTTCCGGGAGATGCTCACGCTTGTTCCAGACTTCCAGCAAGAACAACGCCGTCCACCTGCTCAACGGCGTCTTCGCCAAGATTATTGGCAGTCTGCTGAAGCGAGGTTTTTTGCGGAATTTTATGGTAATTTGTGTTTGATCAGCAACTTATGCCGGGTGGAATGGGCGCCAAGTGTATCCGGTCTACTCCAACCCGCCCGAGAAGTGCGCGCGCGACGTGGAAGAGCTGATCGGCGAGCTGAACGCGATCAGGGGTAAATTTTTGGCTATCATACTGTCGGCATTTCATAAATTTCAAACATTTTTTGCGTATTTAATGATTTTAGTATATTTTAATAGTGTTTTAGTACAATTTGAGTATATCTTGAGTAAAAAACTTAGAAAACATTTTAATCGTTTTTTTTCGAAAAGCGGCATTTTCCGTCGAAAAATCTGGCTTTTTTAATTTTGTAATCAGAATTTGTGAGGTTTTTTTGCGTTTAGAAATAGCAAAAACAGTTTAAAATTTCTTCGATTTCTGTTACTAAATTGGATTCTTAGAAAAAAGTTGCCGCCCCCCCCCCCGTTACGCCGTAAATTTTTAAGTTGCAATGTTTAAGTTTTAAAGCCTAAATTTTCATGTAGTTTTCAGGGTTCCGTCGAGCAGCAGTACGATCAGCTCCGTTTCTACGAGGGCATCGAGCAGGTCACGCAGCTGTTGAAGCGTGCCGCCCGCACGATGGAGAGCGCCCAGCTGATGAAGGAGCCGGACGAGCGGAAGGTGAGCTTTTGAGGCTTCTTATGTCTTTTTTTATGGTTCCTGTACTTTTACCAAAAACCCCGTTTTTCCAGCGCGACTCGGTGCTGTGCGTCGTCTTCGAGGCGTTGCGGATCGGCTCGATACTCCTGTCGCCAATCGTCCCCGACTCGCCAGCACACGCTGGAGAGGTGAATTTTTGACTTGGTGTATTTCCGGTCTTCCTGTAGATGAGATTTTCGTGCAATTCTGACTTTTTGGGACCGGGCGCACCGGCTGGCTCAAGACGTTTAACTTATCTACTTCGAGCTAAAATACCGTTTTATAGCCTTTTACCCACACTTTAAACTATTTCTTTGAGCCGGGCAAGCTAGCAGAGTTCATTTGCGAATTTTCCTTCTTCTTCTAATAGAATATGTCCTTCCTGTTCGTCTACAACTTAGCCTAGCCAGCGTTTTTAAATATTTTTAGTGAGTTTATTTTACATTCCCTTCTTTTTTTAATATTCCCAGCCTGTTCATCTACACCTTGACCTGGCCAGCTCCGCCTTGACGGCAGTAACTGTCTCATACTGTATTAGTGAAGCGTCGCACAGTTTTTATCTTGCCAGCGATTAGACTGAACGCCTCGAACTCGCCTATTATTCAGCTCAAGGTGTCATTATGAACTTTCGACTACTTTTGGCCCGCTAGCTAGGTGGTGTTCATTTCGCCTGCCGGTCAGCATCTACAGCTTAGCTTGCCTTGGCGACCTCGTTGAACTGGACGATCTCATCCACCTAAGCCTATAAATTATAGCGTAGTGCGTTGTAAAGTAGGATCTAGCTAGCGTTTCCGTTGAACGACCTGAAATCGCCGAAACTCGGGCAAATTTACTTCGAACATGGCAGGCTAGCAGAGTTCATTGACGCTTTTTTATGTTGCTATTGGCTAACTTCTGGCTCAAGCATCTAGAGCAAGACCTGACCAGCTCGATGTTGACGGCATTAGCCCGCCCGAGCCTTATTTTTGTGGGGCAGCGCTGCGTAACGCCTAGCCAGTTTTAGCGAACGTCCAGTAGCAGTAGGATTTTTCTGAACACCTTGAACTTGACGAACTTCCCTAACTGTGCCATTTCAAGGCTCGGCATCCCCGACAGCGAGGCCACCTTCCGCAACGCACACTTCATGCCCGGCGATGCCGACGGCGTCTCTGTGCCACGTCGGCAGCTCGGCGAGAATCGGGATAACTTTTTTAATAGAATCCAGTTATAGGGTGTTTTTGTGATTTACTAGATGTTGTTTTTTCGAATTTAGGCCTCGTTTTTCGGCAATAAAATTTACAAATTTACAGTTCATCTACAGCATTATGGCGGTGTTTGTAGCGTTTGGTAGTTTGTATCGTGCATTTTAAGAGTTGTAGCTTGTATTTTGCCATTTCCTGCACCCTCCCATTGTAAGTAACCGTTTATTAACATTGTAATAACCAGAATGGAATAGCGATTTTTCGGCGCGATGAGAATTGTATGTTTTTTTGTCGTCGTTGGTGGGCGAGAATAGTTGGCTGAACGGCTCGGTGGGGTTGGAGCGGGCGGACGGACGGACGGGCAGGCGCACGTCGTCTCTTACGTGCCCTGCCCGGGGTAAAGCATCTCGTAGTCTGAAATTGGGGGTTTTACACGAGTTTTGCATATTTTTTAGTTCACTATTTTTAGTATAAAAAGTAAGCTAGCAGAGATTCTTTAGGAAAGGGCAGGCTAGCAGAGATTCTTTAGGAAAGGGCGGGCTAGCAGAGATCCTTTAGGAAAGGGCAGGCTAGCAGAGATTCTTTAGGAAAGCCGTGCATCCTGGCCAAATGGTTGTGCTCTAACCGATCACCCACACGACCCGGGTTCGAGTCCCGCCCGCGACAAACTACTGAGCAAGAGCTATTTTACTTTTTGAGCAAGAGCTTTAGAATCCGTAAAAAAGCCTTGCCTCCCTCCTCCTTCTTCTCCTCCTCCTTCTTGGGGGCAGCGGCGGCGGCGGCTGGAACCTGGACCTTGTTCTGTGTCGACGGCTTCTTCTCTGTCGATTTCGATTTCTTGCCGGCGGGCGACTGCTTCGACTTTGGCGGCATCTCCGTCAAGTTCGGCTGGCGGGGAGTGAAATGAGGGATTTTTCAAGTGCCGATTTTCTTTTGTACCTGGATTTTTATGGAAATTTCGAAAAAATTCCACTTCCGGCGTATTTCAAGGCGTATGCAAATTAGTTTTTCGCTGCCATATCTCTCTCTCCCTCTCTCCCTCTCGCTCTCTCCCTCTCTCTAGCCTGTACTCCTTGAAAACCCGCCCAAACTATCGAATAGCTTTATCCATCAAAATGTGCATGGATCCAGGGTAAAAGACCGAAATATTGTATTGCTCAGTATCGTCGTCGTTCCGTCGTTGTCCACCTCCTTCTTCATCATGTTGTTCATCTACGTGGTCGGCGGCCCGTCGACGTCGATCTCGTTGATGACCACCTCGCCGCTGTCGGTCTTCTTCTTCTCGGGCTCCTTCTTCTTCTCCCTCTCCGTCTTTTCGTCCTTCTTATCCTTCTTGTCCTTCTTGTCCTTGTCGGCCTTAAAATTCGAGGTAACAGTTGCTTAGCGGGGGGTTTCAGCTGAAATTTTTAAAAAAGCAGGATAATGTTTAGAAAAAAACAAAATTAGTCCCCCCCGTTAAGCAACTTGTTCCTTTTTGGGAGGTTCTCCTTACAAGATTTTTAAATTTTAATCATTTTCATGCATTTTTTGCCAAAATGGCCGGCTTATCGATCAAAATATCGAAAATCCCCCCCCCCCGTTAAGCAATCATTACCGAAAAACTTCAAAAATTTCAAAGTTTGACGAGTTTTTCGATGTTCCCTTTTCGGAGGCTCTATTTTAAAAATGACGAAATTTTGACCATTTTCATGCTTTTTTTGAACAAAAAGCACGTACTCTCGAAAGTAGTAATATTCTGATGGCCTCCCCCCAGTAAGCAACTTGTACCGCAAAATTTTAAATTTCGAAGATTTTCATTCGTTTTTGAGCAAAAATGGCGTTGGTTGCGCCCCCCTCCCCGTTAAGCAACCGGTGCCACTGACCTTCTTGGGCGGCTCCTTAACGTCGATGGATTCGCCGTTGAGCATCTTCTCGAGTAGTTCCCTCATATCCCTCCTCCGCTTCTGCTTTGCCTCCCATGCCCTGGGTGTCATTCCTTCTGGGGGTACGGTCACCACTTCCGGCGCCGGGATCGTCCCGATCGCGTCCAACGCCTCCTGTGCCATATCTTTCGCGTCCAGCTCCTTCGCCAGCTTCACGATCTTTTTCTGCAAATGTTTGCATTTTTTGGCGCTTTTATTCTTGTGGAGCTTGCGCCTTATCGGGGGGGGGGGGGCGGCAGAATTCTTTGTACAAGTTTAGAAAGGCCTTCTAGTTTACTAGCTAGTTTTTTTAATTTTTTTAAAAATAAAGCTGTAGGCAAAAGGCGAAATTTCGTTTAACAATTTTCCATGTTTGGTCGAAAAATCGGTATTTTTAGCGTGCTGTAGCAAGAATTCAAAAATTTTTGATTTGTATTTCTTCACAACGGGTTGTATTTTTTATTTTGCTGTCTAAATGAGTTTTATTTTGTATTTTTTAGAGATATTTGTAGTTTTTTTACATTTAGTAAGAGTGATAAAATTATTTAGAAACACATCCGCTAGTTATATTTGAAAAATTAACCCCTGGAAAAAGTTGACCCCCCCCCCGATAATGCCAAAGAGCGGCGAAAAATTTTTGAAGTGCTTTTCGCTCAGCCTACCTTGATTTCGATGCGCTCGGTGCGGTTGACGACGAGATGGTCGAGTCGGATGCACGGGTTGCTGGAATGCGTAGTGTTGCGTACGCGATATTTTTTTGGTTTGAAAGGGATCGAGAAGGCATCGTTATATAGCTTTTGGGATCTGGTTCGTTAGCGGGGGGGGGGCGTATCGGCACTTATCACCGAACTACCCACCGAAGCAGCTTGCTGAGAAAGTCGTAGTAGCTGTACCAGGCGACGAACCCCAGCGGCCACAGGAATACCATTGGGGCCTCACATAGGGCCAGAATGAACGGGAAGTACATAGCTGAATAGGGGTCGTTGCTCTCTCTCTCTCTCTCTCTCTCTCTCTCTCTCTCTCACTCTCACGCCCTCTCTCTCTCACCCCCTCATTCACTACGGAATTTTCTGAATTCCGAAATGCCTTAGCAACGTTATGGAGGTGCTTCTGCATTATCGGGGGGGGTATGGGTCTAAAAATGTCTAGTAACGTACTAATCAGTATATTTTAATCGTGTTCTTAATTTGACTGGATTCCAGCGAAAAACTATCTAGAAAGCGTTCTACAATTTTTTGTCGAAAATCGGCGATTTTGAGTCGAAAAATCTATATTTTTTTTTGCTAGAAATTGTGACGATTAGGGATGGTAAATCACATTTATATTCAAAAAATTCAATCCTTACAAAAAGGTACCCCCCCCCCCCGATAAGGCGAAAGCACCAAATTTCGGCATTTTTCAAATAGGCGGACTTACGGTAGCAGGTGCGCGTGAAGTAGTACCACGTGACGCCGAGGATTGACATGTCGACCAGGGCGATCGGGATCTGAATTCCGGGGGGTTACGGTATGACTACAGTATTGCACTTTTTACGGTTCTACAGTACCTGGCCAAGTATCGCATGGAACGTCGGGGATCGATACGGTTCGCCGATGCTCGTCAGCGTGTAGTAGATCTGGATTTGAGATCAATTTTATTAGGGGGCAGGCTAGCAGAGATTATTTAGGTGGTTCTTTCGCATTATCGGGGGGAAGGGGCGGCGGGGGCGGGGTAAACAGTTTTTTATTCATCTAGAAATGCCTAGAAACTTAATAAGAAATATTTTAATAATTTTTTTAGTAAAATAAAGCTATATTTCAACTAGAAAAACTATCTAAAACTTCGAAATTTTTTCAAAAAGTCGCAATTTTGGTAAAAAACGGTCATTTCCGGTCGAAAAATCGATTTTTTTTTTGTGTTTTTTAATAAAGTTTTGTAATTTTTATGCGTTTCGGGATAGTAAAAAACAGTTTAGAAACACCTTCGCTATTTATATTTAAAAAATTCGTAATTAAGAACAAATTTTCTACCCCCCTTCCCCGATAATATGGAAGAACCGAGAATTTTTATGAGGGGGCAGGCTAGCAGAGATTCTTTAGGAAAGGGCAGGTTAGCAGAGATTCTTTAGGAAAGGGCAGGCTAGCAGAGATTCTTTAGGAAGGGCAGGCTAGCAGAGATTCTTTAGGAAGGGCAGGCTAGCAGAGATTCTTTAGGAAAGGGCAGGCTAGCAGAGATTCTTTAGGAAAGGGCAGGCTAGCAGGGATTCCTTAGGACCATTTTACCTGGTAATTCTGCGTACACCAGCTGAGCAAGAGCAGCGGCAGCAGCGTGTATCCCCCCTTTGCACACGCGGCCACCATCCCGTCGATTTCGCCGATTTCTGGAGATGTTCATCTCCAGAAAGCTGTCGTTGAACCATACCAACTGGCGGATTGGTGTTGGTGGCTAGGCGAAACCAGATGACGACCCTCAACTGCCTGATGGCGATGAAGGCGAACGCGAACATCTTCAGCATCATCCACTCGTTCATTAGGGAGATGCCTGGAAATTTGGTACTGGTGCGTTAGCGGGGGAGTGGATTTTAGCGGTCACTGTGTAATTCTTGATTTTCCATCTATATCTATCTCTAAGTATATGTAGTGCATTTTTATGATGTTTTTCGTAGTTTTTTATTGCCAGAAAGTTACAAAAAATATTTTAAATATTTTACGCAGTTTTTAGAAATTCGGAAATTTGGGTTTTTGGTCATTTTTCATCATCCCCAATTCTTACGGTAATTGTTGGGAGCAGGGGTGTTGAACAGGCTCCTCACGGCGATCGCTCGCTGCCTAAAATTTTGGGTTTAAAGGACCGGACAAGGCTGGCTGGTCTATGGATTTATTGTCATCTTGGTTCTTTTGCATTATCGCGGGGGGGGGGTGTTAGAGGAAAAAACTTTCTCTGGTGTCAAATTTTTCTACTATAAATTGCAGAAGTGTTGCTAATTTTTTTTTACTCTTCCTAAACGTAAAAGCGGTACAGGTAGGATAAGCGGGGGGATTTTAGGCGGGGGGAACCGAACTTTTTTCCGCTCAAGCCTATTTTTTTTATATAAATAATGGAAGTGTTTCTAAATTGTTTATAGCTATTCCTAAACATAAAAACTTTACAAAACTTAATTAAAAAATTTAATTTTAGGTCTAAAAATCACTTTTTTCGGCCCAAAAATGACCAAATTTTCGACTTTTTCAAGCGTTTTTCTAACTTTTTAAAAAAAATTTCGGATTCAAATAGGCTTAAATTTCGCTAAAAACAATGTGAAAACACTTTATATTTGATTACTATCCCCACCAGGGCCGACCAGGAAAAAGTTGGTTTCCCCCGCCTAAAATTCCCCCGCTTATCCTACTTGTACCGTAAAAGCTTTACAAAGTGGACTAAAAAAAATACAAAAACTTCGATTTTGCCACCAAAAATGGTGGATTTCGCCCAAAATTTAGATTTTTTTAAAGGGTTTTGCAAGATTTTTTGTTATTTTTCGGCTCGAAATATTGTTAAATTTTACCAAAAACGCTATTAAAATACTTGCGGTTAATTTATTAGGAATTTCTGACCTTGTACAAAGATGCCCCCCCCCCGATAATGCCAAAGCTCTCTGAAAATGGATTTATTTCCCTTTTTTGCAGAAAATGCCTAATGCCAAAGCTCTGCGAAAATGGATTTATTATCCTTTTTTTGCAGAAAATGCCTAAATTCTGCCCGCCCCCCCCGCTAACAGTCCGGTTACAAAAAAAAAAACGAAAAATTCTTACCGTTTCTGCTCCTGATTTGCCTCAAGGGCGACGGCCATGCGATTCTTCTTGCCCTTCTTCTTCTTGGCCTTTGTCTTGGTGTTGGAGACATTTCGAGAGGTGGAGACGTGCTTCGTCTTTGTGGTGACCGTCTTGGTGGTGACGGTCTTTGTGGTGACAGTCTTCGGCCGCGACGCGTCCTGGGGAGCCGTCGACGGCTTCGCGGCGGCTGCCATCTTGTGGGGGAAGATACGAGTAGTGAGACTTCTTTTTTAATACCGTATTTTATGAAGGACTTCCGATGATTAATTCCAGGATAATCAGATGCAAATAAATTCATTTTCAGGGTTGTTATTTCGGGGGTCCGTGAAATGCCGTGCTTTGCGTATTTTGTCGGAATTCGGCCATTTTCGGGGAATTTTATGTTGTCGGAGGTATCTTCAACTTTTCTGCCTGGATTTTGGTCGAATTTTGAATTTTTTCTTTAAATAAAAATAGCGGAATTGTTTCTAGATGCTTTTTAACTATTTCGAAACCTTCCGGAACCCTCGAATTCCTGGCGGTCCGGAACTATGCAAAATTTCATTAAAAAAGGTGAAAATTCCGATTTGTTTCGCCTAAAAATTTCCGATCGACCAAAATTTCGACTTTTCCAGACTTCTTAGATAGTTTTTTTTAATTTAACCATAGGTTTATTTTACCGAAATAACACTAATAAATTACTACCTATTAAGTTACGAGACATTTCTAGGCTTATATCAAAAAGCCCCCCCGCCCCCCCGATAATGGAAAAGCACCAAAATTGACATTTCTAGACTTATACAGAAAATTCCCCCCGATGATGGGAAAGCACCAAAATTGCGATGAAGTTTTACTTATTATCACGTCGCTCTGAAATTCTGTTATTATTAATCTGCCGTAATTCTGCGTAATTTCTTCATTTGCGCGCTACCGTAACCCACATTTTATAAATAATAAATAATAATAATTTATTCAACACTAAGGTTTCAATAAGAAACGCTTAAAAGTGAGGGAATATGGTTTGAAAAAAGGGAAAGAGGAAAAAATGGAATAGGAAGTAAGAAAAGTAAGAAAAAAGCCAATGATGATGAGGAATAGGGGCATGGTGATATAAAGGTTAAGATAGTACATAATCCATAGGAATGAGTTTGGATACAGCTTTATGAAAACTTTCGCATGATGAAGCAGAGACGATTGAAGGGGGGAGGGAATTCCAGATTGAGCAGGTTCTTGAGCTAAAAAAGGCTTTGTGGTAGGATTTTTTGGACGATATTAGGGGTCGTAGTTTGTAGGGGAGGCCACGAGTGGAAGAAGAATTGATACTAAAAAATGAGCTTGTAGAAACATTAGAAGAGTATTTATGGAGTTTATAAAGGAAGGAATAGTCAGCAATTGTGTTCCTATAGTTCAGCGGTTTGAGATTGAATTGTTCTAGTGCCGAACGATAAGACTTGTAATCAACCCTACATCGATAGCAAACTTTTCTAATAAAATCCTTAAGTACACTTTCAATTGCAACGCGATCTTTTTTTAAAAAGGGAGAGGTAACAGGTGAGGCATACTCAAGTATAGGTCGAGCATAAACATTGAACGCTTTTGTATAGAGACTAGGAAGTCGACTACGAAAAATTTTAAAAAGAAGAAAGCAAACTCGCGCAGCCTTCTTCGTGACATGGAGAACATGTGGTGACAGGCTGAAATCATTGGACAGTAGAACACCTAAATCACGTATTTGTGTAGCCTGAGGCAATATCTGGCCATTAATAGAATAGCAAATTTTAGGATTACGCTTCCCATAGTGCATAGACGCGCATTTAGGGATAGCAATGAATAGCTGATTGTCAGCAACCCATTTCTCCAATTTATGGAGTTGTTCGGGCAAAGTAGAGGGCGTGGTCCGACCAAAGTGGCTGATTAATTTTAGGTCATCCGCAAAGAGTAGCCCATCGGGCAGATTTTTAGCATCATTTAGGTCATTAATGAAAATAACGAATAGTAAGGGACCTAGGACGCTGCCTTGGGGTACTCCGGAGATAACTGGGGCTGGATTAGATAGACAATTGCTGACCCGGACCATTTGTTGCCGCTCTAATAGCCAGGCTCGAATCCAATTCAGAAGCGGTCCTTCAATCCCATAGCTAGCAAGTTTAGAAAGCAATCTGTTGTGATTAACGGTGTCAAAGGCTTTACAAAAATCGACGTATACAACGTCTGAAAAGAGACCCAAATCTTCAGCCAGCAATAGACTTTGAATGTGGCTCAATAGCTGGGATGTTGTGGACCTTTGGGGCAGAAAGCCAAACTGCCTTTCTGATAACAGTTTGTTAGTTTGAAGAAAGTCTTGAATCGCCCGTCTGACAAGTTTTTCCATGATCTTGGAAAATGTACTTGTCAGACTGATTGGACGATAGTTTGATGGGTCCGACTTCTTGCCCTTTTTGTAGATCGGCTCTATATACGCTATCTTCCAGCTAGATGGGACAGTTCCGGTATCGATGGAACGATTAAATATGATCGATAAAGGTAGGGCTAAAGATGTAGCACAAGCCTTTACCAGATAGGCTGGGACCGGATCTGATGTTTTGGTAAATTTCGGCTTTAGTGACGTCATAATGAGCCTCTCAATGGTATGAGGGGCAAGGTCCAGAAATTGGAGCGATTCGTTTGTCCGTCGAGGAAAGTAGGCTGGGGTGGATTGGGCATGATTAAAGACAGCAGAGAAATAAGTTTGGAGAATTTGTGCCTTTTCACCATCAGTGGATGCCATTTCACCATTGTTTCCAGATAGGGAGGGGATAGCAGATGGAGCTCTGAACACTGACTTGACGTGCCGATAAAATCGTTTGGCTGCACTCATTCTATCTAGCTTGGAGCTGTTATCCACAAAGTTTAGCTCTTTATGCATATTTTCTTCGTTGAGAGCCAATTTTAGCTCTTGGACCACATTCTTATATTCAATAGTGTTGCCAAGGGTACGCCAGATATTGAGCTTTTTCTTGTGGAGAGCTGTGATTTTTGCGGAGGGTCGCATTTTGTAGGCTTTTTTTAGCGGAACAAATTCCTCAACAAGTTCAGCAAGAAAGTTATTGAGCATTTTTTGCAGCTCTTCAGCATTTCCTTCACGAAATTCCCAAAGCCAGTTCACCCCCGCGATTCTTGCATTCATTTTTTCATAGTCGGCCCGGTGGAAATCTTTTTCTCCGGACACCGTCGGGGCAAAGTGACTCATCACAATATTAAATGTGACGGACCGGTGATCGCTGAAAGGCTCCCCAACATCCAAGGAATCGATTAGCCCGGGGAGTGGGGTGAGGACAAGGTCCAGAATATTGTGGAATCGAGTAGGAGTTGTGACCAGTTGGGAAAGGCCCATTTTGGATGCAAAACGGACCAGCTCCTGACAATTATTACATTTCGTGGACTTTTTTATCCAATCAATATGTGGGGCATTTAGGTCGCCAAGGATAATATAAGGCATAGTTGATTTTGCAAGAATTTTGTGGAAAAATTGAAGCAATGATTGGAAGGACTGAGAATGTAGGGGATGGTAGCAGAGAATGAGTCGGAGGGCGGTTTTTGACTTTTTAATAAACAGATCAAGACATAGAACTTCGAGTTCGGTGGAGACATTTAGCTTGCAGATTTTTAGATGGCTGCGATAAATGACTGCTATGCCCCCTCCATGACCTTGTCGGTCTTTTCGCAATATAGAGTAGCCAGGGATGGTTAGAAGAGAGTCAACAATATCGTCCTTTAGCCAGGTTTCTGTTATAAAAACAATATCTAGTTCAGTTAATAGTAGCATAGCATTTAATTGTGCCAATTTAGGATAAATAGACCTGGCATTGATTAGGCTAGCACGGATAACAGGATTGCTTACTTGGATTTTTTGTTCCACACAGCCGGCTCGACTCCTTCGGGATAGATACGGCGAGTCAGTTTCAGATTCCGCACAGTCCAAATTGCTTTCCCAGCCTTGAGGTTGAGCTCGAATGCTTGTTTCCAGGCTGCCTGATAAATCAGGCTGTCCGTGACCGAATAATTGGGTCTGGAATTCAGACCTTTCTGGCGATTGACCGGATGATTGACGGCCTTCATGAAGGTTTGAGCAGCTTGGATAGTGTCGAATTGGACAATCAAGGGTCTTGGCGAAGAGGCTGTTGCTGGCCTCTTGCCGCCCAGCCGAAAAACCTTGGTCGGAGCGGTGAATTGGGGAACATTGGTCAAGTCGATTTTTTGGGGAAGAGAATCGACCTCATCAGTCTCAGATTCGGGCAGCCCTTTTAGGAATACTTGCTTCTCACGTTCATCCGCGGAATCATGGTCTTGAAGGACCTGTTTGATGGCAACTAGTTGAGGAATAGAGGCTTTTGCTGCCATCGTGGCATAGGAAGCGGGGACCGGGATAGTCGCCGAATTTTTCATCAATCCTTCGACAGTTCGTTGGAGCTTCTCAACTTTTCCGGTGAGAGCCACAACCAAACTATGCAGTTCGCTGATGGTTTTTGCCTGTGCGTCAATCATAGCGGCATTGACGAAAGCGTCAGCTTTTTCGAAGGTGTAGTTGGGATTTACGGAAGCAGTAGGGAATTTTTTTGGTGCTGAGAGCGAGGTGAACGCCAATGGAAGTGGACTACAGAAATCCCGGGTGGCCGAATTGGCAGGAGAATCATTAGGGGAATCAGTCATAGGCCTTTTTTGGGCCGGTTGGGAAGGCATACGGTAGCACTTTCCAGCCGCCTCACAAGCCGAGGACAGGGGGGAGAGTGAGGACAGGGGGGAGAGTGAGGACAGGGGGGAGAGTGAGGACAGGGGGGAGAGTGAAGAGTAAGGCACCGTAACCAGAGATCTCGAAGTTAGTATTTTTGCCTAATCCTCGGAAAGCTGAATCCAGATTTCTGTCCAAAAATTCGTCAACCCCGCTCCAATCCTCCCAATTCCACCCCGCTACAGTAGACACTCCGGAAAAGCGGCGTTTCGTGGATAGGTGTGTGTCGGAATGATGGTCTGCAGTGAGTGTGACAGGCGGGTCAGGAGCCCCTGTCCTGTCTACAGTCCCTCCTTTCCATCACTAAAGCACCGACCAGGGTGGAGAAGACGTTACGCAAATAGCCTAGGGGGCACACGAGGCCCCAACCAGGGGGAAGGGAATGGGACACAATGTCCCCACCGCCACAGGACCCATCTCTCTCTCTCTCTCTCTCTCTCTCCCACT